CAGTAGAGGGTGGCCCAAAGCCTTGGGACCCTGCACCCACGTGGGAGACCTGGAGGAGGCTCCGGGCTGCAGGCTTTGGATCCGGCTGTTGCGGCCACTTGAGGAGTGAACCAACAGATGGAAGATCTTTCTCTCTGATTCTTCTCTCTGTAAATCTACTTTTACAATAGAAATAAATAAATCTTAAAAAAAAAAAAAAAAAGAAAGAAAAGGGCCTGGTGTGGTGGTGCAGTGCTTAAGGTCCTCGCCTTGCACGCCCGGGATCCCATATGGGCGCCGGTTCTATCCCAGCAGCCCCGCTTCCCTTCCAGCTCCCTGCCCGTGGCCCGGGAAGGCAGTCGAGGACGGCCCAAAGCTTGCACCCGCGTGGGAGACCTGGGGGAGGCTCCTGGCTTTGGATTGGCATGGCATCGGCCGTTGCGCTCACTTGGAGAATGAATCATTGGACGGAAGATCTTCTTCTCTGTCTCTCCTCTCTGTATATCTGCCTTTCCAATAAAAAAATAATAAAAATAAATCTTTAAAAAAAGGAATATTTAAAAAAAATTAAAAAAAAGAAAAAAAGGAAAGAAGATATATCCCAGGGTGATGTTTGAGGAGAGCAAATTATCAAATAGAAAAGGGGTATGAGACAGTGGGAAATGCGGAAAGTCAAATATGCAAAGAGAACAAAGGTAAAGATAGATAGGAGTGGATAAAAAAGAAAATTATGGACACCATATTAAGGAAGAGTATAGAGAAAGAGAGGAAATTGGCAAAGAATTGTGACTAAATATCTGTACCTGCTTGGTCCCTAACCGTATTTGAGCCCTAAGCAGCTGAAGATAGATTTTAAGATGACTTGGGTTTACATTGAGTGCATGAGCTCCGGGTGCTGCACATTCAGTGTGGTGGCAACCATCTGGAGTACGGAGTTAGGAAGGACACAAGCCCCTGGGGACGCAGGTGAAACACCCATGCCTTGCAAGTGTGGCAGCGTAGAGGCGTGGTTTATCGTTTTTGCTCATAGGGACTGGCCATGTTTCCTCCTTGCAAGTCTCCAGATGCTAGCAGTGGAAAGAAGGCCTTTTCTCTCTTGGGCGCTGTGCAGATTTCTCGACACCCTCACCCTGCCCTCCGGGGAAGGGGTGGGTAGCATTCCCATTTCACAGATGAGTAGACACTTAAATGGTATCTATTTGACGCTGCTGCTTGTACGCGGTTGAGCTAGTCAGAACTGGCTGATTTTAGGCTCGTGTCTTGCTGTTATGGTCCTCTTAATTTTTTTTTTTATTGTTGTTGTTAAAAGATTTATTTATTTTTTTTATTGGAAAGTCAGCTTTACAGAGAAAGGAGGTTCGGAGAGAAAGATCTTCTGTCCACTGATCCACTCCCCAAGTGGGCTCAATGGCCAGAGCTGAGCTGTTCTGAAGCCAGGAGCCAGGAGCTTCTTCCAGGTCTCCCATGCAGGTGTAGAGTCCCAAGGCTTTGGCCTGTCCTTGACGGCTTTCCAGGCCACAGGCAGGGAGCTGGATGGGAAGTGGGGCAGCCAGGATATGAACTAGTACCCAGCGCATGCAAGGCGAGGACTTTAGCCACTACGTTACCATGCCAGCCCCTCTTACAGTTTTAAAGTGTGAGCTTTTATTCAGACCATAGGGTGTGTTAAGAATTTTTGTCTCTGTCTTCTCTCTTGAAATATTATTTAAGAATAAATGTTAGCCATTTACTTTGTGCCAGGTATAGTCTATTGATGCTTAGTTTTTCAAACTCTTCAAATACTGTGAGCAGATACACAAAATAGTGTGAAGGAATGAAGCTATTCTAAGAGCTCAACTTCAGCAGAAACCAAGATGAGAATTATAAAAGGATAATTTTCTGATGATTAGAAATGAAAAAAGAAAGCTATTTCTTGCATACATAATGACCTAGTGAGTTACTAACTTGCCTTAATGTACATTTATGCTATTATAATTTTTTCAGTATTCAGACAGACAGAAGAGCGGGCGTATGGCGTGTTAGCTGCCTAGAAGCTGGCTCTTATGTAGCACGTGGTCAGAGGTGCTGGACTCAGATCTGAGACCCTCACTGTGAGGGAAGTTCTGATTAGACTGCTGTCCTAGTCCCAGTTTCAAAATCCTGTGTGCTTCAGAAAGGAATTTTTCCCCTTGAGGGCTTTCATTTCCTTTTTTCTGAGTTATATTTCCCTGAGTCATATTGAAATAATTTGCTAGCAAATTATTTAAGATTTGTAGAGACTTTAAAAGTTATTCTTAAAATCGGGCCTGGTGCAGTGGCGCAGTGGTAAAGGTCCTCGCCTTGCACACCCGGGATCCCATATGGGTGCCGGTTCTAGTCCAGCAGCCCCACTTCCCATCCAGCTCCCTGCCTGTGGCCCGGGAAAGCAGTCGAGGATGGCCCAAAGCTTTGGGACCCTGCACCCGCGTGGGAGACCTGGAAGAGGCTCCTGGCTTCAGATCGGCATAGCATCGGCCGTTGCACTCACTTGGGGAGTGATTCATTGGACGGAAGATCTTCTTCTCTGTCTCTCCTCTCTGTATATCCACCTTTCCAATAAAAATAAAATAAATCTTTATGCTTTAGCACTTGGAATATTTTAAAAATAAATAAGGTGTGTATATTAAATAGCTTTTATTCTTGAGTTTATTGTAGCAGTTTGTAGACAGCTATATGTGCAAATGTGGAAGATGGACCCAATGGGTCCCTGCCACCCTGTTCCCTGACTTTGACCTGGCCCAGCACTAGCTATTGCAGTCAACTGGGGAATGAATCAGGAGATGGAAAATGTTCTCTGTGTAAATAAATCTTTCAAATTTGTCTTAAAAATTAAATTGCATATAAGCTTCCAAATGTCTTAATAAATCCATAAGGGCTTTTGTCTGCTTTCAATTTGTTCTTACTATTGTATTTGAAAGGCAGATCTGCAGAGAGGGAAGGAGAAAGAAATTGTCTGCCCACTGGTTCACTGCCCAGGTGGCCCCAGTGGCCTGAGCTAAGCCAGTTAGAAGTCAGCAGCCGGGAGGTGCTTCTAGGTCTCCCGTATGGGTGCAGGACCCAAGTGCTTGGACCATTGTCCATTGTGCCAGGCACAGTCACAAGGAACTGGATTAGAAGTGGGACAGCAGCGGCTTGGCCTGATAGTGCCACAGCCTAAGCTGTGTTAATTTTTTTCTTAAACTGAAAAGGTTTCCCTAAATGTATACTGTAGAGACATTAAAGGGAAAATGAATAGAATATTTATTTGATCAAAAATAGGAACAAAGTGAAAAGACAAATGACAGATCAGGAAAAGTGTTTTTTTTTTTTTTAAGATTTATTTATTTTTATTGTGAAGGCAGTTATACAGAGAGAAGGAGATTTAGAAAAATCTTCCATCTGCTGGTTTACTCTCCAAATGGCTCCAAGGCTGAGCCAGTCTGGATCCAGGAGCCTCTTCCGGGTCTCCCACACAGGTGCAGGGTCCCAAGGCTTTGGGCCATTCTTAACTGCTTTCCCAGGCCACAAGCAGGGAGCTGGACGGGAAGTGGAGCAGCTGTCACACAAGCCAGTGCCCGTATGGGATCCTGAGTTACAAGGCGAGGATTTAGCCATCCCACCAGGCCCTAGGGAAAATATTTGTGGTAAAACAGGAAACGTTAATAATACACACCTTGGTAAGCTAATACAAAATAAATGAACTTGGGGAAAATGTCAGAAAATAAACAACGTTCATGGCCAGAGATAACTTTAGAAGCTAATCTGTCTCAGTAATCAAATTCACGTCTTTTTTGAAGATTTTTTTTTAATTTACTTGAGAGAGTTACAGAGAGAAATAGAGGGAGGGTGAACGAGAGAGAGGAAAGAGGGAAAGAGAGCCCTTCAGGCTGCTGATTCACTCCCAGGAGGGCTCGGATGGCCAGGGATGAGCCATGAGCTGCTTCTGGGTACCCCACATAAAGGAAGGGGTCCAGGCACGCTAGCAGAGCAGTGGGGACTCAAACCAGCTCCCGTATGGGATGCCCATGTTGCAGGTGGCAGCTCTAATGCCACCCTGAAATTCACATTTGTGCAAGTTAGAATTGTCCATCTAGGAGGTGGTCGGAGAATGATGTGCTATTCAAAGTCCGTAACTACACTCCGAGAATGTTGAAAGAACCCAGAGTTTAGAAACTGTGTGAAGCAGCTGTTGAGGTGGGAGAGAAGAGGTGGTGTTGCCACAACCGACGGCTGTGGAGAAGTCCCTGGGGCACTGGGGATGGGACTCGGAGAGCCAGCACAGGGCTCTGTAAGGTACCTCAGGAGCACGGGGCGCTGAGACACTGGCCAGCGTGCGCCGCTGCTAGAGGGAAATCGGCAGGAGCAGAACCAGCCAGAATCTTCTCTCCTTCTAGTCACCCCAGTGCCTTCGCTTGACAGAATATGAGCTATGATCCCCGTTGACAAGGAAGGAATACTGTCTGCAGACGCCTACCCTCAATGTCAGAAAGCCTTTGGGCTGAAAACAAGAGCTGTGTAATTAATACAACTGCTGATAGCTGGGACTAGCAAGGGTAGCAGATGAAAGTGGACGTAGCACACATTGCCTTTCGGAGTGTCAGTAGGTTCACTCTTTTAAGAAGACAGTTTACTTGTATCTGCAGACATTTTAGGTCTGAATTCCTTTGACTTACCAAGTCTGTGTCAAGAAATTTAGCCCATAGAAGTGTTAGTCCTGTTTAGAAAAATACATATATGTGGTATTTTATCTCATTTCAAAAATGGGAGATAGCGTAGGCTTCCATAAATAGGGGATTAATGAAATGTTCTGGCTCATTTGTTATAAAAAGTAAGGCCATTAAGGAGGTAAGAACTCTCTCTGTGTGCTTGGATGATAAAACCATAATGTATTTGGTCCACTCGTGCTTTGTCAAATCCGAGAGAGTCACAGTGTTAAACCTGGCAAGGTTTTCAGCTGCTGTAAGTACGGATTTGGAGGTAAAACGTCCCATCTTTTGTGTGCTGTTTATTCTTTCTCTGAACAGTTATGAATGCAGGAATGAGGAAATACTTCCTACAAGCCAATGATCAACAGGACCTAGTGGAATGGGTAAATGTGTTGAACAAAGCTATAAAAATTACAGTAAGTATTTTAAAAATATATTTTAATTTATTTTTTAATTTGTTTGAAAGAGAGACAAGCAGAGCTCTCCCATGTACTGGTTAACAGCTTGGGTCTGGGCCAAGCTGAACCAGGCTGTGAACACCCAGACATATCCATGAGCAGGAAGCTGGAGTTGGGAATGGAGGTGGGACTTGACCCCCGGCGCTCGATGCCGGATGCGTAGTTCCCAGGCAGCCGCCGAAGCATGCCTGCCTCTACAGTGTGTGATATAGAGTCCTAGCTTGGGAATGTGGTTTTTCCTTTTCAAAGAGTACATGGAATAGACCCTTTGCTCCTCTTTGGAAGCCATAGCTGGGACAGACAGAGCAGGTGTTGCAGACAGAAGCAGGACAGGGGACCATGAAGGACTGTGAGGAACCCAGACCCTCCTCTCCTGTGGCCTCTGAACTTCTCTCACCCACAGCTTGTCTGAATTTTTTCCTTTGCGTGCTACAGCTTCGTGCTTCCAGTGTGAGGTTGTCTTTAGTTTGGTTTTCTGAAGAGCGTTAATATTCACTGATTATTCATACTTTGCAGGCCTGAAGGTTTTATTTTAGTTATCTGGAAAAGTGAGTTTTAGGGTGGTTGAGTGCCTTCCATAGGTTTCCAGCTTGTGGGTGATGGAGCCGGGAGCCCAGTCCAGGGTTTGGGTTGTAGAGAGCTCAGAGGTGCTCAAGCTGCCTCACAGCCTCCTGAACACAGAGCCCGCTCCCTGCTGCCTGTCCTGAGGCTCACCGCTGATGGGTAATGGGAAAAGAGGTTCTGTCCTGGCCCGGTCCTTCCCTGTACACATGTGCAGGTGTGCGCATGGTACCCTACCTAGGAGGATGCCACAGGAGTTCCTGACTGAGGGTCACTTTGGTCTGTTGTGCAGTTTTACTGAAGTGCAGTTACTTAATGACCCTGAAGGACTCGCTTTCAAGAGAGCGTGTTCCCTGAAAGTCAGCCCGTTGTTAGTTAGACCCCACACACCACAAAGAGTTAAATAGCTAGAGCTGTTTTCAGAGTGAAGTCAGATTTTTGGGCTTGAACCAGCACAACTTGTCGGCACATGACAGAGAGCCCACATCCCACATCTGATCTGTGTGTGCAGCAGCAGCGATTTCAGATTTGTGCAGTTTCAGAAGAGCAATTGTCCTGACTCACAGGATCGGTTCTTAAAGGTTTTAGCTCTTAACAAACGTCCCTTCTTTGAAGATGTCTTTGGAAAGACACCATCCAGTAGCTTTACTGATGTATTTATTTTTTTTTTACAGTTTGCGATAATGAGCAGCACCAGTTTGTGCCTTAAGAGAAAAAGTGGTGAATGATCTCAAGCTCTTTTTAAAAAAATCGTTTTGTGGATTTTTGAGTTGCTATGTGTAATCTGTTCACAGTAGGAAGCAGTCTGAAATAATACTAGAAGCTTTAGCTTGAAACAAACAGAATAGGGGCTGAGTTGTCTTAAAATGTGTGGACTTGTGAATAATCTTTGTGGTTTTACAGTTCTGATTTTTACACACTGAAATTTTTATGTTAAGATAAAGCCACTGGTAAATAGTAAAATACAGGTATATGTATGTGCTTATCAGTAGAGGAATTATGCCTACATTAGTAGGAATGTAGGATTGGGTATAATTACTAAAAATCAACGTTTAACTCAAGCAATGAAAAAAGTGCTCGTTTTTAAATAAGGTATGTTTCATTCATTATATTCCTTTCTAAGATTTATTTTTGTTTGACGGATTTGCAGAGGAGAGAGGGAAAGATCTTCTAACTACGGTTCACTTCCCCAGTATCTGCTGTGGCTGGAGCTGAGCCCATCTGCAGCCAGGAGCTTCTTTCTGGGTCTGCCACTTTGCCAGTCCCTGTTAATTATATACTTTAAGGAAAATCTCTGGCTGGCACGGTGGTATTGTGGACTACTAAGCCTCTGTCTGCACTGCTAGAATCCCTTATGAGCGCGAGCTCATGTCCTAGCTGCTCCACTTCTCACCCAGCTCCCTGCACGTAGCCTGGTGTTACAGTGGAGGATGGCTCAGGTTCTTGGGTTCCTGTGCCCACGTGGGAGACCCGGAGCTCTGGCTCCTGGCTTCATATTAGCTAGCTCTGGTCACTGTGGCTCTCTGGAGAGTGAACCAGTAGATGGAAGATCTTTCTCTCCCTCCTTTTCTCTGTAACTCTATCGCTCAAATAAAAAGAAAGCTTAAAAACAACAACAGTTACCACTTAAAATTTCATAAGTGACTGACATATTTAAATGTATTTATCTGAAATCTGTAATTTATCATATATTTTGGTAGGAACTGCATGTGGATTCCTTGAAAACTTAGTTTGCATATTAAATATAGGTACAGCTAAGTATTACCTGCTATGGAATCACTCTAAGCAACATTTTGGTCAAATATGTGATTTAATGATTAGCATGCTGATTGCCAAGTGATACCTGCATTTAAAGTTTTAGAAATCTGAAATTCGAATGCATTTCAAAATAGAGGTGGTTACAGGGTGGTGGGGGCGGGGACGTGATGATCATTTAATTCTTCATCATGATTTCTTTCCACCTTTGTGATTTTTAAAGATTTGTTTATTTGAAAGGCAGAAGTGTTAGGGAGGGAGAAGGGGATTGAGACCTGTGCTGTTGACTGGCTCCTCAGATCATGCCGCAGCCCAGCTGAGCCAGGCGGAAGCCAGGAGCCAGGAGCCGGGAGCCGGGAGCCGGGAGCCGAGAGCCAGGGAGCCAGGGCCTCGGGCTGCTGCCTTCCCAGGCTCTTAGGCAGGAAGCTGGACCAGAAACCAAGTGGTGGGTTTAAACTGAGCCTCTGCTCTGGGATGCCAGCGGTGATGGCTTGACTTGCTGAGCCGCAGTGCTGACCCCCAGTTCCTTCCAGTACCCGTGGCTTTCCTTGAGTCTATGTGAAGGTGGCTCAGTGGCTGCCGATTCAAATCTTCTTGCATTATGTAAGAACAGAGCAGGGATGATAATGTAGGAACTAACCCTGCAGGAAGAATTAATGATTAGCATTTCTGATTTCAAAGTGTTCCCTTAACTACTTGTTTATTTAATGACAATATAAGTATATAATGGTTTCTGGTCACTGATTAAATAGTATTCAGAGTGCGTAGGGCTAATTCCTAATTTCTTTTTCCACCATAGTTTTAATTTGAAAAATCAGTATTAGATTTTAATCTAAGAGTAATTGAAATTAGGGCGAAAACTCCACAAGATTGACCTTTTTTTTGTTAAGATGAGGTGAACTTGGGACTTTGATTCTGTTCCATGGGCCCATGCTTCCACAGTCCAGGCCTTCCACTTTGCACAGCATTCATTGATCAGCAGGCAGGTCGGCTGCTTACTCAGAGCAGGGTGGAACCCTCAGAAAGAATATATAAGATCCACAAGTTTATGCGTGGATATTTTAAGATTTATTGCTTTTGTTAGAAAGCAGGATTTACTTATTTATTTGAAAGGCAGAGTTAGAGAGAACTTCTTTCTATCTGCTGGTTCATTATCCAAATGATTGTCAGTTTGAGCCAGACCAGAATCAGCAGTTGGGAGCTTCCTCTGGGTCTTCCACATGGGGACAGGGGTCCGAATCCTTGGGCCATCTTCTCTGCTTTCCAGTAGGAAGTGGAGCAGCGCAGGCTTAGACTGTTGTCAGTGTCACAGGCAGAGGCTTAGCACACTGCGCCACAATGCAGGTCCCCACTGTAGTGTCAGTGAGAGTCTGCTGTTGTCACAATTATTGTTTGTCTATGCAGGCAATTTACCAGTGAGACAGCAAGTATTGTAGTTCCTTTAAGTGCCTCAGAATTTTGGTGTTGTATGTTAATATTTTGTTAATTTGACATTTTGATTTTTTTGGTTAGGGATTTTATTTTCTCCTGTTAATTTTGGTTAGGCTTTCAACTCTGTTGTGAAGCTGCTGGAGGTGACTGTGCCTAGTCCTGCCCTTGGGACTTGCAGAATGACGGCTGGCATGGTGCAAAGAGAAGACAGTAGCCGAAGTTGTAGTTCAGTATTGAGAACTCTAGTGGGAACAGGGACTGGAGTCTGACAGTCAGGTGTGGAACAGAGTGACACAAAGCTGGCTAGAATGTAACATCGCAAGGATCTAAATCTGTGTTCTGTTTGCTTTCCTCTCAAATGAGGTTTGCCTCCGTGCACAGCTGATGTGATGGCTGTGCGGGGACATGCTCAGTGCCTGCTGCGTGTGTGGCAACAGACCGTGCATCAAGGATGTAGGGGAAGTGGAGGCGAGGGCTGCAGGCCCAGGCAGCTGTGGGCTGATGTCAGTGATGTGGAGGCGAGGGCTGCAGGCCCAGGCAGCTGTGGGCTGATGTGGAGGCGAAGACTGCAGGTCCAGGCAGCTGTGGACTGATGTGGAGGCGAGGACTGCAGGCCCAGGCAGCTGTGGGCTGATGTGGAGGCGAGGACTGCAGGCCCAGGCAGCTGTGGGCTGATGTCAGTGATGTGGAGGCGAGGACTGCAGGCCCAGGCAGCTGTGGGCTGATGTGGAGGCGAGACCTGCAGGCCCAGGAAGCTGTGGGCTGATGTCAGTGATGTGGAGGCGAGGACTGCAGGCCCAGGCAGCTGTGGGCTGATGTGGAGGCGAGGACTGCAGGCCCAGGCAGCTGTGGGCTGATGTCAGTGATGTGGAGGCGAGGACTGCAGGCCCAGGCAGCTGTGGGCTGATGTGGAGACGAGGATTGCAGGCCCAGGCAGCTGTGGGCTGATGTCAGTGATGTGGAGGCGAGGACTGCAGGCCCAGGCAGCTGTGGGCTGATGTGGAGACGAGGATTGCAGGCCCAGGCAGCTGTGGACTGATGTGGAGGCGAGGACTGCAGACCCAGGCAGCTGTGGGCTGATGTGGAGGCGAGGACTGCAGACCCAGGCAGCTGTGGGCTGATGTTGGAGAAGTGGAGGCGAGGACTGCAGGCCCAGGCAGCTGTGGGCTGATGTGGAGGCGAGGGCTGCAGGCCCAGGCAGCTGTAGGCTGATGTGGAGGCGAGACCTGCAGGCCCAGGCAGCTGTAGGCTGATGTGGAGGCGAGGACTGCAGACCCAGGCAGCTGTGGGCTGATGTTGGGGATGTTGGGGAGTCGGGGTTGTGGAGGTGAGGGCTGCAGGCACGGCGACTGTGGGCTGATTACAGTAACTCGCCGTTTCAGGTACCAAAGCAGTCAGACGCACAGCCCAGCTCTGACACCCAGAGTTGCCAGGGCGAGTGTGGGAGGAAGCTGGTGTCTTACAGGACGGATATTGTTGGTGGTGTTCCCATTATCACGCCAACTCAGGTGAGCAACTCTCATTCTTAGTTAAGACACCTCAGCTTTACAGAGTAACACAGTACAGAGTCACTATTAAAAATATAGACGTCACAGATAAATAACAAACAGTAAATGTTTCCTCTGAGCTCTTCCTTCTGTGTACTCCCCTGCTTCAAACCCAAGAATGAAAGAGGAATTACATAGTCGATGTGACGGTAATTTCCGCTTACAGCATGAATCTTTTCCAAGTCATCAGAAGTTACTACACATAATTGTTCATGACTAGTAGTCTGCAGTGGATTTACTGTGATTTACAAATCCTGGGACCAGCATAGTAATATCGTAGGTCAGTCCTCCAGCTGTGGTATCTGCATCCCATACAGGTGCCAGTTTGTGTCCTGCCTCCTCCACTTCCCATCCAACTCTCTGCTTATAGCCTGGGAAAGCAGTGGAGAATGGGTTAGGCCTGTAGTCCCCTGCATCTACATGGGAGACCCAGAAAGAAGCTCCAGGCTCCTGGCTTCAGATCAGCTCTGGCTGTTGTGGCTATTTGGGGAGTGAACCAGTGGATGAAAGATCTTTCTTGCTGTCTCTGCTTTCTGTAAATCTGCCTTTCAAGTAAATGTAGATGCATCTTTTTAAAAATGTATAAATCCTTTGATGCATAGAATTTTTTCCTTTTTTTCTTTTACAGATAAAGCTTTGATGAACATTTTTGTAGGTTAAATTTTCTAGACATTGTTGCTACTTTAAAAGTTTTAAATTTGTATGTATTTTATTTGGAAGGCAGACTGAGAGATAAGTGTCTGATTTTCTGATTCCTGGGACTGGGCCAGGCTGAAGCCAGGAGCGGAAAGCGCAGTGCAGGTCGTCCCTAAGGGTAGCAGGAACCTGAAGCGGTCATGCGTTGCCTCCTAGGCTGTGCACTTATAGGAAGATGGGCTGGGGACTGAAATCTGAGCATTCCAGTGTGTTACATGGGCAGTGCAGTCCAGGTGGGAGCTTAAATGCTATGTGAAACAGCGGCTGTTCCTGTTGATTTTTTTAAAAAGGTTCGTTTTTATTTTTGAAAGGCAGAATTAGAGAGGGGGAGAGACAAAGAAGTCTGTAGTGGGCCCAGCGCAGTAGCCTAGCAGCTGAAGTCCTCGTCTTGTGTGCCTGGGATCCCTTATGGGCACCAGTTCATATCCAGGCTGCTCCACTTCCTTTCCAGTTCCCTGCTTGTGGTCTAAGGGGAAAGTAGGAGAGGATGGCCCAAAGTCTTGGAACCTTGCACTCACATGGGAGACCTAGAAGAAGCTCCTGGCTCCTGGCTTTGGGGCTTTGGATCAGCTCAGCTTCGGTCATTGCAGCCACTTGGGGAGTAAACTAGTGGATGGAACATCTTTCTCTCTGTCTCTCTCTTCCTCTCTGTAAATCTGACTTTCCAATAAAAATAAGTAAATCTTAAAAAAAAACAAAACAGTGCGTATCTGCTGATTGACTCCTCATATGTGGCAGTTGTCAGGACTGAGCCAGGCTGGAGCCAGCTGCTTCTGGGTCTCCCATGTGCGTGTAGGGCCCAGGCGCGTCACATGCACACGAGGGGTGAGCGTGCTTGGGACAGGTGGAGGAAGGGAAGATCTGAGAAGGGGGTACGGGCGTGCCTCTGAGCCTGGGTCATGCCTGCCAGTCACAAACATGGCTCCCCTTTTGGGGGAGACGAAATGCAAGTTACACAGTACCTCCTGTACGGCTTGAGGGGGCCAACTTCTTTGAAATCTGTAAAAATATGTCAAAGGTTACTGCCACTTAACACAGCTTTTTTTTTTTCAAAGAACTTATAAAACAAGTAAAAATTTCTGTTTTCATCAGCGATTGGAAAGTTAGAAGTGCGTTTATCACATTAATCTGTACTTGAAAATATGTTGGCACTCAGGATCACACCATGAGATGAAGCTAAGTAAGCGAAAGAATTTATTTTTTTCTTCATTTTAGAAAGAAGCAAACGAATGTGGCGAAAGTGTTGACAGGAATAATTTGAAACGGTCACAAAGCCATGTTCCGTACTTTACTCCTAAACCACACTCAGACAGTGCCATAATCAAAGCTGGGTATTGTGTAAAACAAGGAGCAGTGGTGAGTAGCTTATAAAATATGTGAAACAGGGAAAAATGAGCATGCAAATTGTTTGTTGTGTTTGTGGAAGTCCCAAAGTGAGAGATGAGCTGGGAAGGGCCTCTGGAGGTAGAATGGCCTTTATTCCAGCTCTGTTTCTCTAGTCCCTGAGTGGCTGGGTGAATTAATGTTGCTTACCACTGTCAGTTTAATTGACTTTCTAAGAGTTTACGTTAATTTCAGAGACCTTTTCTATTGATTTTCCCACACCTGAGAGTAAATCAGGAAAAGAGCCCTCTGGTGGGAGAGGGCGGGCTGGGAGAGTGGGGGAGGGCGGGCCGGGGGGCTGGGGGAGTGGGGGACTGCGGGCCCAAGCTGGGAAGAATGAGGGACAGCAGGGTGGGGTTGGGGAGTGGGGTGGGAAAGACTCCTTCATTGGTTTGGCTTTGAGCTTACCTCCATAGAAAGCTCCACGACCTTACGCTGCTCAGTGGCTCCTGTTTTCTTGTGTAAGAAAACTCATTTTGTGCAGCCTGTCAGGGATTCTTTGAAAGATGTGAAGGGGAGATGAAGCCCTTGGCACTGCGCCTCGTCCTTAGAACTCTTCCTGCACACGAGCTCCACAATGGGGACTTCTGCAGGAGTAAGCCCTTGACTGAGACTTCAGGCATTCTTACTGTGTAAACTCAATCTTGAGAATTCATGTAGAAATTAAAGTTGGAAAGTAGCAAGTGGGAATAAAGGAATACTTGAGGCTGCTGGCAGGTCTGTTCCCCTTTTTACTCTGGGGTAACCCCAGCTGCTTGTATCTGCCTGTTGGTCCTAAGCTCAGAGAGTGCTGGAGGCTGCTCTGCAATGTGCGCAGGTGGTGCTGGCTGCACTGGGGGACTCCACTCTGCATCCTTAGGGCTTTAAAGGAAAGAGTTCTTTGCTTTTTGCTCTTAAATCCAAAAAAATCATTTAGAGATGTTTTAGTACTTCCACAAAAACTGTACTTGAGAAAACATCGTATGAAGCAGCCTCCCTTGAGTGCTTTTCTTTGCTGCTGTGGACGGCCTTGTGCACCAGCAGGTGCAGCTCCTTACTGTGGTTCAGTAGCACTTCCTGTTCTTGCTCTTTGCTTCAAGGAGGGGCTAGTGAGGGAGGTGAAGTATTTAAAAATGTGAAGTCACATGATAAAAGTACACGAGGAAAGCTGAAAGCCAGCCTCCAAAAGTTGACTGTGGTGTGAGACAAAGTATCATTTATCTCAGCACCGAACGGGAGAATGGTGCTTGGTGTCTGTGACTGGATTTGTATCAGAATAATTGAGTGGTGATTAAACATCTGACATTTTTGGAAACAGAAGTCTTATGTCTGTGTTCATTTCTGTAGATGAAGAACTGGAAGAGAAGATATTTTCAGTTGGATGAAAACACAATAGGCTACTTCAAATCTGAACTGGTATGTTACTGTGTCATAATGTTTGAGATATGTTGCATTGCAGCAGATATATGTAACTGTGCTGTTAAAATCATTCTGTTTTTGAAAGGTGCCTGAATATGCACTTATTTTGTGATGCTCCTTGAATAGAAAGGTTGTATCTTCAAAGAGACCTTCTGCCTTGGAAGATCTGCGGGCTGCCTCAGCCGCTCCCCAGGGAGCAGATGTACAAGGCGGTTAACCCTTTGTATTTCTGCCCCTTCCTTGCCTGCTCTTGACATTTTATTTTTCTGATTTCAGATAGAATCTTACATTGTTTCCTGTGAGGTGCTTTTGTGTTTTCAGAAAGTGTGATCAGAGGCTGGAATTCCCTCTTTGGCTGGCATTCTTACTTGAAATACCATGAGGTGACACGAGTCTTGTTGGGTGCCTGGAATGCAGTTCTGGTCCTGTGCTTGTTGTGTGGGATCTTTTTTTATATATATATATAAGATTTTATTTATTTATTGGAAAGTCAGATACACAGAGAGGAGGAGAGACGGAGAGGATGATCTTCCGTCCGATGATTGACTCCCCAAGTGACCGCAACGGTCGATGCTATGCCGATCCGAAGCCAGGATCCAGGAATCCCACACAGGTATCCCACACAGGTGCAGGGTCCCAGAGCCCTGGGCCGTCCTCGACTGCTTTCCCAGGCCACAAGCAGGGAGCTGGATGGGAAGTGGAGCTGCCAGGATTAGAACCGGCGCCCATATGGGATCCCGGCGTGTTGAAGGCGAGGACTTTAGCTTCTAGGCCACGCCGCCGGGCCCACGTTCCCCGTGTGGGATCTTTGAGAGGACTTTGTTAGGAGGTACTGAACTGCACAGGTGGCAGTGTGCTGTGTTTCTGTGTTCCAGGGCCACTGGCTATGTGTGGCGGCTAAGCCCTGAGCATGTGGTTAGTACAAGTGAGGAACTCGTGCATGTTAAATCCAAGACCGATTTCTTTTTTACTGTAGTTTCATGTCAGTAATGGCTGCTGTGTTGGACAGTGGGCCACTGAGAATAGGAAGCCATTAGTTTGAGGGTCACCTCAAGGGTAGAGGGGGCAGCCAGTGCGACCTGCTGTGTAGGCTGGAGGTGTGCTGATTTTGGTATAAATTTTGTTTTCAGGATACATGAAAAATTGGATATGGAAAATGTGAATAGGACACTAAATTTTTTTTTGTAAAATAAGCTTGTATTTTTAATTCCATTTTTTCTTTATTGATTACATTGTATTATGAGACATAGTTCTATAGGTACTGGGATTCCCCATACCCCTTCCCTAACCCTCCCCCTATGGTGGATTCCTCCACCTTGTTGTGTAACCACAGTTCAAGTTCAGTTGAGATTCCTTCATTGTAAGCATATACCAGGCATAGAGTCCAGCATCTTATTGTCCAGATAAGTTCATCCGCTTCTTGGGGAGACCTTCTCTGGTCTGAAGGTAGGGCCAAAAGAGTAAAATCCCGATCAATTAAAAGCCCCATCAGCAACAATATATATCGTTATGGAGTTAATTGACATAGTGTTGAGTAAACAATATGTTAAAATTACATGTAAGTTCTTGACAACCTCCTGTGACTATTTCAACGACATTTTAACAATTGAGGTGCATAACAGCTTTAGGGGGTTTATGCAGAGAAATCTTTCATACCTTGGTGGGGAGTACTTGTTCTTTGTGTTCTACCTAGTAGGGTATGTGTGAGTCCATGCTGACCAATCTTTCCTTGTTGTTCTCTGCTTATCTATTCCAATTTGTGTGTGTGTGTGTGTGTGTGTGTGTGTGTGTGTGTGTGTGTTTGGGGGGTGGGGCTCTGGAGCGACCCTGATGGTCATTGCAGAGGGTGGGGACCCAGAGTTGGAACTATGTAAGGACCCATAGGAAGTTTACTGTTCTTCTGATTCTGAGGACCACTCAGGGTTCCTGGCTGTTGTTCCGATGACCTTGGATCCTATGAGGAAGGATTCGGGCTTCTTCCAACCCATGTAGTAGGTCCAAAAGCGGGGAGGGATATCCTCTGAGTTCTCGGCCTCCGAAGGCATTCCAGTTCCTGTGTTTTCTTTGGCAGTTGGGATGTAGTCCTTGGTGCCCGTACTGATAGTCCTTGGTGGGGATCCGGGAGTCTCCAGGGTTGGGATACAAGCCTCCTCCTGTCCCCCTGCTCCACTCTGGGCCCTCCCCCATTCTGTGCATATGACCTCCTGTTAATAGGTTGTCAGGGTCACTCGTGATTCCCCCTGTATGTCTTTGTAGTTTTTACTATTGTCTAATGCTGTTTTGAATCTATTGTCTATAAGTTTTGATTTAATTCCATTTTTTACATACTTTTTGAAGTACCATGGTATTGATGTAACTTTTAGTTACATGATATAAGAATAAATATATTAATACATACATTATTAACGTTTTTCTACCTGTCTTTGTGCCCTGAAAGAGACCTGGACTTTGTGGAGAAATAGCACGTTCGAGATGCTCAGAGCAGTGAGAGACGGGTGTGTGATGAACTGTTGTGTCAGGAAGTGAGGAAATGCCCACAGAGTGACAGGGACACATAAAAAGGCCCAGTAGCGCTTTGAAAACATCTCCCATTGCCAAATCCAGGTACCAAAATGGTCCTAATACAAGACAGCCACTGAGTAAGCTAAGAACTCATGAGCCCATACAGACACAAGTGAATAATTTAAAAAATACGTTTATTTATTTTTATTGGAAAGGTAGATTTTGCAGAGGAGAGACAGAGTGGAAGATCTTCCATCTGCTGGTTTACTCCACAAGTGGCCCCAAGAGCAGAAGCCGAGAGCCAGGGTCTTCCGTGTCTCTCACAAGGGTGCAGGGTCCCAAGGCTTTGGGCCGTCCTCTAATGCTTTCCCAGGCCACAAGCAGAGGGCTGGATGAGACATGAACCAGTGAACATATGGGATCCTGGTACATGCAAGGCAAAGGATTTTAGTCACTAGGCTACCGTGCCAGGCCCACAAATAAATAATTTAGTGGTGAATTATTTACGTATGTCTGATGAGGTACCTGGTATTCACATAGTTGCTGAATACCTGCCTGCAAAATCTATACAAAGTACACAGGGGAAAGGGTTCTTTGTGGTGAAGCAGCCTGCTAGATAACACTTTGACTAGGTGGTCAGATGTCTGAGATGAACTTCACCTGTGATGTGATAGGTTCACAGCAGCTCCGACGTGGCGGGATATCGTGGGTGGACTGCACAGCGTGCTAAGACTGCACGGCGTGCTAATACTGCACAGCATGTGTGGATTATACAGCGTGCATGGACTGCACAGCGTGCGTGGACTGCGCAGCGTGCGTGGACTGTGCAGTGTGCTAGTCCTGCCCCCGGTGCAGTCTGAGTCCAAGTGCAAGGAAGTGTTGGGAGGGACATTCTGCAAAGTAACTGCTTTGTCATCTTCAGAAGTGTGAAGATTATGAAAATTAAAACCAAAGGAAAGAAAGATGTGAGATAAACAGAAGAAATCATGATTCTGAATTTGCTGTAATAGAAGCCATTTTGAGGAGTTTTCTTTTATATTTGTATTGTGATTATTTAAGAGCATGGTCTTGTAGAAGCAGTCACTGAAGAATTCATAGGGACTGTGGTCCAGGTCAGAAGATAACTGAAATGGTTCAGGATAATTAATTATTTGTGCTGTTTTTTCATGCTTTATATAAATTTGGATTGTCCCAAAGTTTTAAGGGTCAGAAAAAATTAAGTAGAAAATATTTTAAAAAAGAAAGATCTATTTGTCATTTGAAAGGCAAGGCAGAATTACACATAGAGGAGAGTCAGATTGGCCTTCCCGCTCTGTCCACGGTGGCCAGAAGCGCTGCCCTGAAGCGCCTTCCTCCAGCCTCACCACGAGTGAAGAGGCCCGAGGACTCGAGCCATTCTTTGCTGCTTTCCCAGGTCATAAGCAAGAAACTGGTTTAGAAGAGGAGCAGCCAGAACTCCGACAGTGTCCACGTGGCATCCTGGCACGGTAGGCATAGGCCTTGCCTACTGTGCCATAGTCCTGGCCCTGGAAAAAACTTAGAAAAGATATTCAACATTATTAATTATTAGAGAAATGCAAATTAAAACTTCTTTGGGTGAGCAGTGTTATGTCTTAGCAGCTGAAGCTGCTGCCTGGGATGCCCGCATCTTGAATCAAAGGTTTTGGCCCCTGTGCTTCCTCCAGTCCACCTTCCTGCTGATGGACACAGGAGGTGGAAGGTAATGGCTGGAGTGTTGAGGTCCCTGCCTGCCACAAGGGAGACCCTGTTGGAGTTCTGGTCTCTCGGCTCTGGTCTGGCCCAGCTCTGGCTGTAGCAGGCATTTAGTAGTGAACCAGCAGATCCAAGACTGCTTTCCTTTCCAGCACACCTGCCTTCTACCTTTCAAATGGATAAAAATAAACACACATAAAAGAAAAATGTTTGTTCCCAGCATGATAGCCTCGTGGCTAAATCCTTGCCTTTCATGTCCCAGGCTCCCCGTGGGCACCAGTTTGTGTCCCAGCTGCTCCATTTCCCATCCACTTCCCTGTTTTTTACCTGAGAAGGCAGTCGAAGATGGCTCAAAGCCTTGAGTACCTGCACCTGCGTGGGAGGCTCTGAAGAAGCTCCTGGCTCCTGATCGGCTCAGCTCTGGCTACTTGCGACCACTTGGGGAATAAACCAGTAGACGGAAGATCTCGGAAGATCTTTTGTCTCTCTCCTTCTCTCTGTAAATCTGACTTTCCAATAAAAAGTAAAAGATAATTTTTTTCAAAAATCTACACTGAAGCTTTACACAGTGGCAGTATGCAGCGGAAGGGTTTATCAGAGGCGTGATTATATTGATTGCAAATGATTCCTAGAAAGGTTCTCAGTTATGAGCAGGTGGTTGAGTGAAGAAGCCAGCTGACCTTCTGAATAGCACGCCGTGAGTGGCAGGGACTGATTTCAGAGCTGGGACGAGAGAGAACAAGCCGAGACAAGTGCATCTGTTTTTGCCAGAAAACAATGGAGTAGCTTGGACACGGTGGGAAGATGTCCGTAGAGGGGTTCCCAGGGACCGAAGCTCGGACGATTCAGGCAAGAAATAATATTGGTAATAAATTGTTTCCCATAGACGAAAATGAGTCACTTATACATAGATGAAGAAGGAGTTCTCTTTGGAGTAAAACTCCAGTTTAATAATTCGTGCAAGACTTCTGCAGTAAAGAGAGGATGAGACATGACAGCTGAGCACAAGACGTGATCCTGCGTGGAGCAGCGTGTGCGTAGAGGGGAGGACGCTGTCACGTCCACGCAGAGGCTCTGCCACTTACTGCTGCGCTGTGATTGTCAGAAGGACCGTCCTTAGTGCTGCAGTCCAGAACAGTTTGCCCTCAACCATTTCAGCCTGGAAGAAAATGTGTTCATTCCCATGAACGTGACAGATAGGCGCAGAGGGCAGGTTAACACCTCAACAGACCAGGTACAAGGTCTGTAAGTTCTTGGTATTGTTCTGGTGTGTCTTGCATAGTCCGAAATTATTTCAAAATGATAACATTTTATAAAACTTCAAAAACCTGTGGTTTAGTATAAAATCATTCTGTTGTGATTTATAAAATATAAGATAATGTTGTGTCTTGAGCTAATTCAGTAAAATAGGGATCTAGTGTTTCATGGAATGTGTCCTACAAATATATTATGAATGAATTTTTTTGCATCCTTTCATCTTGTATATAATGTCTTAGAACGTAAGGTGAAATCCTTAACATGCTGCATCCTTGCTTTCCTCAGATGGATACATGGATGTGTGCTGTGGCGTTGTGAGCACTGTGAGCTAGCCATGTAAAACCAAGCGGATCAGCCAGGTGTTTGGCAAGGCAGTTACATGCAAGCGAGGATGCCTGGCTTCTCTACCTGGCTCCAGTTTCTGGCTTTGGCTGCCTGCGAATGCAGAGCCTGAGAGGCAGGGTCGGGAGTCGGGAGTGGGGGGCTCAGGGGGCTCAGGGGCTGGGGTCTAGTGCCCGTGTGGGAGGCCTGCCCTGAGTCCCTGGCTCCCTGCTTTGCATCTCCACCACCATAGGCATTTGGCCAGTGAATCAGCAAATGGGATCGGTCTGTCAGTCAGACAAATAAAATGTAATCATAGGAAGAGGTAGTAGATACGCCAGCACTGAGTTTAAGTTCAGGAAGAGTTCATGTCTTACTGAATTTGTAAAACAATGTTAAAAGTTAAAGACGCTGGTTAGTCCCTGCATCCTAGAGGAAGTAGTACCCGTGGTACACAGGGTCCATTGCAGAGACTAGCGGTTAATGGCTTTTCATAAGCTGTGCTGCCTTTCAGGCCAGAAACCTTGTGTCAGACAACAGTGTGTAGTTCAGACCACGTGGGCTGTTCTGACTGAGGAGTTTTTAAAGGTACATCACTCTCCTCGATAGGCTTCAAGAAGAAACCATCACTTTCACATTCATTTACAGGTAAACATTTAACCCTTGCAAGAATTTTAAGAATAAGTGTCCACTTTGTCTGTTGCCAGGAAAAGGAACCTCTGCGTGTGATACCGCTTAAAGATGTTCATAAGGTCCAGGAATGCAAGCAAAGGTAAGGCCCAGCTCTGACCTCCAGTCCTGCCCAGCTCTGACCTCCAGCCCCCCCAGCTCTGACCTCCAGTCCTGCCCAGCTCTGACCTCCAACCCCCCCAGCTCTGACCTCCAGCCCCCCCAGCTCTGACCGCCAGCCCCCCCAGCTCTGACCTCCAGTCCTGCCCAGCTCTGACCTGCAGCCCCCCCAGCTCTGACCTGCAGCCCCCCCAGCTCTGACCTGCAGCCCTGCCCAGCTCTGACCTGCAGCTCCCCCAGCTCTGACCTGCAGCCCCCCCAGCTCTGACCTCCAGCCCCCCCAGCTCTGACCTGCAGCCCTGCCCAGCTCTGACCTCCAGCCCCCCCAGCTCTGACCTCCAGCCCCCCCAGCTCTGACCTCCAGCCCCCCCAGCTCTGACCTGCAGCCCCCCCAGCTCTGACCTGCAGCCCCCCCAGCTCTGACCTGCAGCCCTGCCCAGCTCTGACCTGCAGCTCCCCCAGCTCTGACCTGCAGCCCCCCCAGCTCTGACCTCCAGCCCCCCCCAGCTCTGACCTGCAGCCCTGCCCAGCTCTGACCTGCAGCCCCCCCAGCTCTGACCTCCAGCCCCCCCAGCTCTGACCTCCAGCGCCCCCAGCTCTGACCTGCAGCCCTGCCCAGCTCTGACCTCCAGCCCCCCCAGCTCTGACCTGCAGCCCTGCCCAGCTCTGACCTGCAGCCCCCCCAGCTCTGACCTCCAGCCCTGCCAAGCTCTGACCTGCAGCCCCCCCAGCTCTGACCTCCAGCCCAGCTCTGACCTCCAGCCCCCCCAGCTCTGACCTGCAGCCCCCCCAGCAGACGCACAACAGAGACACAGCAGACGTGACCGTGTGCTCAGTGCGCTAACAACTGTGTTTTCCTGAAGTGATTCTAGGATTAAGCTTTTTTTGTAATTGAAATATGTTAGATGTTGAAATATTGCCACTTGAACTTAATTGGAAAGTAGGAAACAGAATTGATCCTTTATTTGGAAACTAAACCTTTGTAAATACCTTATTAGCAACAGGGGAAAAATTAGTATGAAGCAGTCATGCTGCCAGGTTTGCTGAATGTGTTCGTTATTGTAGTGTTTCAGTGACGCGGCAGAATAGAACTTCATAGGAGAATGCATAAGCTGTGCAGCTGTTTCCTCAAGGAAACGAATACTTTGCAGTTAAAAACTCAGAGCTTTAAAACTGTTTGTGAGCCTCTTCTAAAGCTGTAAATACACAAATGAAACAGTGCAAAAATAAAGGATACTTTGATTTTGTTTAATCTATGTCTTATCTGTTATTGGTACAACCGTGTGATAAATAAATAAACAAAAACTATCAAATAACTGCTGCAAGGTCTAATTGGATAATTTCCTTTCCTAACAGTGACATAATGATGAGGGATAACCTCTTCGAAATTGTAACAACATCGCGAACTTTCTATGTGCAGGTAAGATACTGTCTGGAGGATGTAGAGCCAGTCCACTAATGCTTTTGAGATGAGGTAAACACACAGGAACCTTTTGCTTCTAAGGTTTAAAAAATATGACAGCCATCTCACCACATAATAAAACCATGTTGTGTATGGAATCATCAGAAAGTTATTTGTTCAGGAATTCTTTGTTCTGAGTAACATGAAATAGAGACAGATAATATTTGGGCAAAGGAAGATGCTATTTTAATTGTATTCCTTCCCTGGGATTGTTGTTGGTGCACAGGCTTTAGAATTTTGATTTTCCAATATTTCCATTTGTTGGGAGTTTGTAAATATATGTGTGTGTATAAAGATTTATATATTCTTATTTGAAAGGCAGATTTACAGAGAGAGAGAGAGATAGAGAGCGTCCCTCCGCTGGCTCACTCCCCACAGATGGGCTGATCTGAAGGCAGGAGCCTCCTCCAGGTCTCCCATGTGGGTGCAGGGTCCCAAGGCTTTGGGTCAGCGTCTGATGCTTTCCCAGGCCACCAGCAGGGAGCTGGATGGGAAGTGGAGCTGTCAGGAATAGTGTCAGCCAGTGCTAGTAGGCAGAGGATTAGCCCAGTGAGTCACTGTGCTGGCCCCTTTTTGGTCATTGGCATTCTGTATTTGAGTTTAAATTTGTGTTTACTATATGAGTTATTCAAGTGTTAAGTTTTCGAAGGAACACCTGTAAGGTGTGGGTATCTGGCCTAGCAGCTGATGCCCGTGTCCGCGTAAGGATACTTGGGCTAGTCGTGCAGTTCCGTCTGTGGACCCTGGCGGGTGGCGGTGAGGGCTCAGCTAGCTGCGTGTTTGCCATCCACAACGGAGACCTGCGCTGAGTTCCCAGCTCTGGCCGCCTTACCTGGGAGCATTTTCTATACGTCTCAGAAAAATAAATCAAACAGATAGCAGCAACAATAACAAAGAAAATGCTTTTATGAAAGTTATATATGCTTATCGCAGAAAAATATTAAGAAAGTAGTCATGATGTTCGCAGTCAGGCAGCCGTGCTTCCTGATTTCATTGTCACCTTTATCAGGTCGTGTCAGGTCACATGAAGTGAGTTGTGTTGTTAAATCCTGTTGGTTTCATCACTGTGCAGTTGCCTCTCATGTCATTAAAAGGTCCCCGAAAAGCTTTCAGCACTGCCCTGTACTACGTCAGATGGATATTGCACAGGCAGCTGCTTCTTATTGTGTTACTGAACATTTATTGTTTTTGTACTTTTTCTGTGTTAAATAATGATGGTGAGGAGAATCTTTGTACATAAATTTACCTGGATTTTTTATTTAGGATAAGTTTCCAGATTGAGACTGTCAGGTTATGAACGTGCTCACTGGGCCATGTCGGTTTTTAGGATGGTATTGAGTCTTTTCTTTTAAAAAGTCTTCATTAGTGTCATTGGTTTAAAAATATTATGCTGTATCTTTAAGATGTTTGGACTTTTAGAGACTAGAAACTGGTTAGGCTTCTATTTAGAAGTAGGTCTAAGTTACTTGAAATAAGAGAGTCTAGAATTTTAGGCTGTGAAAGTAAGGATTGGTAATTCTGGATCTATTTTGGACCATGTTTAATAGAATTAATTTCATAGGAAGGTTTTTGAAAGTTGTATATATTTTCGTTTTATTTAAAAGCAGGTAGGCAGAGATGTGTATGCTGCCTGCAGTAGCTCAGGCTGGAGGCTGGCACCCAGTCCTGGTCTCCCACTGCTGTTGCCTTCCACAGTGTGGTAGCAGAAAGCAGGACTCCCAAGCCTAGTGGGGACCTGACCACTTGTGTAGCGGTGGGCTTCTTAACCCGGCCCACTCACTCTGCCCCTAATATGGCTTCAGAACCTCATTGGAACCTTGGCCCAATAAAAGAATCTGACACTTTGGACTATGGCTACTAGTATTTTTCTAGGGCTTTAACATACTAATAGAAATTATCTTTAGAAAAAGTGTGGGCCCAGCGCGATGGCTCAGTGGTTAAGGTCCTCGCCTTGCACGCCCAGGATCCCATATGGGCGCTGGTTCTAGTCCTGGCAGCCCCGCTTCCCAGCCAGCTCCCTGCCTGTGGCCCGGGAAAGCAGTCCCAAAATCAGGCCCAAAGCTTTGGGACCCTGCACCCGCGTGGGATTCTCCTGGCTTCGGATCGGCATAGCATCGGCCGTTGCGCTCACTTGGGGAGTGAGTCATCGGACGGAAGATCTTCCTCTCTGTCTCTCCTCTCTGTATATCCGCCTTTCCAATAAAAAATAAAATAAATCTTAAAAAAAAAGAAAGAAAAATAGTGTGTAAAATGATGTCAAAAATAGTCTTATGGCTGATTCAGTCTCGCAGTTGATAGAAGAAAATAGGATCTTTCATTATTATTTCCCTTCTCCTTTTTTCTCTCTGAAAGTTCTTACTGACATTTTTGTTGTTTCTGATCTTAAAACATTTAAGTGGCAAACATATTAATTTAGCCACCAAGACAGGGTTTTCTTTTTTTCCATTTTTTATTGTATTTTTGACAATCTTTACATAGTTGATTAGGGTAAAAAGGTTCAAAGGCTACAGGAAAGTGGGTAAGACTATTATTTCCATGTTGTCTCCTTCATGTATCTGAGGTAAAGGGGAATATTGAGGGAGAAGCCCCACCCAGTCTCCCACCCTCCCCAGGTCCCTGATGTAGGGCATGCTCCGAGGTTCCTGCTCAAGTGGTTCTGACAGTTCACCAGTTATGAATCGCTGCCAGTCTTGCCACTCCAAGCACTATGAGGTCTTTGAAGAATTCACTGGTTGATATAGTCCATCATAGACAAGACAGGGTTTTTAAAAGGATGTACAGGGGCAGGTGTTTGGCACAGTGATTTGGTTGCCATTTGAAACACAGCTTCTGTGTTAGAGTGCCTGGTTCAAGTCCGTCCTCCGTTGGCTGTTGGCTTCAGCCTGGCCCAGCCTCAGCTGTTGCAGGCATTTGGGAAATAACCTGCAAGTGAAGATCTCTGCGTCTGTCTCCCAACCTTTTAAATAAAATGAAAATTAATACATTTTTTTTTTCAAAGTAATGTCTAAAATCTTGGAAATCATTATGTTAGAACAGTTTTACTGCAGACAGTGTAAGTTACCAAGATAACTTCATTGGCTTCATGGAAGTGGAAGATGATTTTGAAGCCCCACGGGGTGAATGGTCCCTCTGTCTTTCAGGCCGACAGTCCCGAGGAGATGCACAGCTGGATCAAGGCGGTCTCCGGGGCCATCGTGGCCCAGCGTGGGCCCGGCAGATCGGCCACTGCTGTATGTCTGCTGCTCGCTGGGGTGACACTCCCTTGGGTCTTCCCATCCTGCCAAGTGTTTTCCTATCCTCCACCCCCTAATCCTTCCAGTCTCTTTTTTTCTTGAGATCTATTTGCATGTTGACGTTCATACCAATTGGACTTGCAGAAAATAATGCATTTCTAATTTAATGCTTCTTTGTAGTGTTACGTGTCCGTAACTTTCTGTGCACTGTCTAGTGGTAAATGCACTGACAGGGCAACTGAAGAACAAAACATTTCCTTGCTTTGTTTTAGACATTCTTACTTATTGGCAGATCTAGATTTGATTAATTTGTCAGATTCTCAGTATGGTTTGTGGCCTGACTGACTGCTGTGTGACTCAGTCCCTTCCGTATCTGTTCTCGTTTCAGCTGGGCCGTTTTTACTTACTAGTGCCGGAAGGTCACTGCACAGCCGGAGCCTCGGCAGTGTCGGGTTCCCAGTTCATGTTTTCACTGTCATTTCCCGATGGGTTGATGTGAAAACCTGCTCTGGAAAACTGCCCTGGCATTCTACTCAGAAGTAGTAAAAAAAAAAATTGTGTGTGTGTTTATTTTGTCATGTTCAGGTGTATTGTAGGAGTTAGCTTTGGCTTTGTTAATGTGTTGGCAACTGGTCTCTGATCTGAAACTATACCTTTCTGCTTGAGAAGTGAAAAATTGTAAAGTGTCTTAAGATTTCAGCCACAGAAAGTAGTCTAACAGTTAATATGATGAAGTTTTGTAGTCAGGATTCCTTGTGAATGCTCGGTCTGCGTCTCTGCTGTTTGTCCTGGGCTGGTGCTGTGACGTCACTGGCTTTTACTCGTGTCCCGGCAGGGATACGTACAGATGTGTAAACAGAAGCTCGTTTCTCATTTTAGTCAGGCTGGTTATACCTCCTAGCAGGAAGTCCCTTTCCTAGCTAATCACTTTGTCACTGCAGATATCTTACGTGACTCTTCCAGCAGTCAGGCATGAGACTCTGCAAAAACCATGCCTGTTGGGAAGGGCAGGTTGGCGAAGGGCGTCTGTGTTCCGTGCTTTGTGGTGGGGCGCCTTGGGCTGTCAGCACGACGTTCTCTTTTCCTGCCTCTGCCCAGTGTAGGGTAACTCTAACCTCGGCTTTGCACTGTGTTCCAGATGCGGCAGGCCAGAAGGCTGTCAAACCCTTGTATACAGAGGTACACCTCAAGAGCTGGCGACTGCAGCACGTATGTGGGCGCTCACGCCAACGAGCCTTCTTAGGAGAGGGCCCGGACTTACTCACTACTCACAACCCATCCTAGAAACTGCCTTCTGCAGTTACCATAACTGATTTTGTCAACACTAACACAAACGATTTCACTACAGTCATCCGGTTGGATATGTGTATTTACAAAAATTATAATAAAGATACAACGTACTAATGGAAAGAGACATTCAGCTAACTTCTGAAAATTAACATACTGAGTTAGTACAAGGGTTTTGATTCCTGTGTCTCATATATTTTTAGCTTTTCTATTTTATAACACCTGAAATGTTCTTTTGTTTAATAATATATTCAGACCCACACATGCATATGCATTAAATAAAATATGCATTCCTATAATTTGTATGGCATTTTAGATCTCTGACAAAACTTAGCTATGTAATAGTATTTTGGTAATTTGTACCACTTTGCTATCTTCAGTAAATGTTAGTAAGCTTGGAACTACATAGCGAAACATTTAGAATGGTCAAATTTAAGCATATCTTCAGGTTGGCTTAACTAGAAACATTATAATTAATATTCAGACCTGATAATTATTTCACCGTAATTTTTTAAAACATGAAATTTGTACCCTTTGCTAGCTTTAAAATCTTAAGCCATACAAGTATATGAGATATTCAGAAGTAAATAAATTAAGGAAAAGTTGACCTTGGCCTTTGTTGGTTGCCATGAAATTCAAGGAAGCGAAGCCCGAGTCTCTTCAAGACTCCCGGACAGTGTAATGTCTAAAAACTGCTAATTCTACTGATTGGAGAGACTTACGGCCTTTGATTTTTGCATTTTGGATTTTTAAAAATCTTTTTAAAATATGTGGGAGAATTCCTTGTGTCAACTGAGAATATATTCTGAAGTAAAATAGTAAAACTGGTAGGCCCCTTCTTAGATCCATTTCACTTGTGTTGCAATTGGAACGCCGTATTCCAGCTTAGCTTGGCCGAGTCTTCGAAAGTGTCGGAAGCTGTAAGGCTTTGGTGACAGAACTGGTTTCCTAGTGGAAATGGCCGGTGGCTGTCATTGCTTTCAGCTCACTGCTAAACCGCGCTGCTGTGGGGAGGAGCTTGCCCCTCTGTCTGCATGGCTCCTGCTTCTGCTGCCTGTGTGTTTTTCAGAGAATCCAGTCTCACGCTAGTTACTGGGCTGGCGCTAGTGCTGACCGTGTCTGACTGGCACCCCTCTTTTCAGGAGCATCCCACCTGTCCCACAGAAGCCAAACACACTCTCCGTGCCGCCAGGGCAGCCGCCTCACATTCCGCAGCCTCCCGCAGCAACTCCCTGGCCTCAAGCTTTGCCCTGGAGAAGCGGGGATTTCACGAGTCTCTTGCCAAGGTCAAGCCAGGGAGCTTCAAGATCCAGACTCTCTCTGCAAGAGAGCCAGCTTCCAAAGTAGCTGAGCGAGCTCTGCTGAAACCTCAGAGTAAGAATGGTCCTCAGGAAAAGGATTGTGACCCGCTGGACTTGGATGACGCAAGCCTTCCTGTCAGTGACGTGTGAGGTGCGAGCAGCGGGCCGGCCTGCCTCCGCCGTGCCCACCTCCTTTGGTGAGACTTCTAGCCAAAGATGACAGAGGCCCAGGTGGCTGCCCAGGCGTGGGCTCCACTGCCTCTGAGGGGTATTCTTTATGAGCTGGCGAACCAAGAATCTAGCGAATGGCCAAATGAAATAGAATTTCTTTAAGGAAGGAAAAAAAAAAAAAAACCCAACCCTAAATGTTCCATTTCCGCTGTCTAGAGCTTGGTGTGTTATATGGGTGGTAAAAACATGTGTGTGATAATCCTGTCTGCATGGTGACTTTGAGTTTAAATTGTAACATCTTTAAGACGTTTAAAGTACTTACTAATTATTAGGGTCACTTTTTAAAATGCTACTATAACTTCCTTTCAAAGTTCAGTATTTACAGATTCTTATTGGTTAATAATTACCAAATCAAATGTTGCCAGACTAAGATACCTAAACTCATGCTGTTTGTGGTGCTGTCACATTTATACTACATTATGTGGACTCTTTTGAATTTACGTCCATTTTTGATGCCCTCAGTGTCAAGGTGAGTGGTGAGTTTTTGCATAGAAGATCTTGTCGAGCCGTCAGTCAGCGTTAGGAGCCGCGCGGGGTGCAAGGAAGGGAGACTGTGAGTTCAGACATCAGCCACACAGACCTGTGTCTGAAGAAGGGTCGGCAGGACGCACAGGAGGCAGTGCTGCGTTCAGTAAAAATTATCCAGACGGAAATTGAGGGAGATCTGATTTTCTTATCAGAGTTTTGTAAATAGTTTTTATTTCTATATTTGGATCAATAAAAGACCTCAAATTTGTATGTAAAGACATAACTGCCCTGGGACGTGAATTGCTACAGCCTCTACTTTTTGTCTCTAATAGCTATATTCAAGTGCCTGAGTTTTCTCAACTTGTTTAGGAATGATTTGAGATGAATCTGCTCAGAAGTCCTACGTGATTGGCTTTAAACATTGGAGTACAATTCATTTCCAGTAGCATAATGTATTCAATAAAAGTAGCATTTTATATTACAGATGCCAGAAAGCTGGTCTCTTACTACCTGTGCAATATGTGTGTTTTAAGGAGCAAATTTGAATATACATGTAGTCATGGGAATATCATAAATACAAGCACGTCTCCTAAGAATCTCTAGTTTTAGGAGTTGAGTTGTAGACCAGTTGGAGCAAATACTGTGTGTGATTTAGTCTTAAGGATTTGCTTTAAGAAAACTCTTGAAATCCACATGCTGCTATTTTTATAATTTTTTTTTTGCCTTTTTACAGTACTGTTTTGTTTTGAATTCCTACATGTCGGTAGTTTCTCCTTTTCATTTTCTAAGATGACTTGTCGGAGAGATAAAAGAGAATTTCTCTCCTGCAGTTGTGGGGGTTCAGAGATTAAGATATGTTAAACTAGAAGTGCATAATTTCAGTTTAAAAATCCATAGGCATAAGAAGGCACCACTGAACTTTTTTATTCATAAGCTAATGTTTTTTAAAGTTATGTAGATTTTTTTGTTATGCAGCTATATTTGAAAATGACAGAATGAAGAGATTTTAAGTAGTTACCACTTTTTTTTGTTCATTCCTGATGTATCGACTTCTTTGGAAGTTCCTTTGCCTTGATGTGGAGAGACGCTGCGTAGACACTTCGCAGAACTCAGCAGCTTGATCCAGCTTTTTTGGTACAGCTTCCACATTGCCTGTTCATTTTTTTTGGTGTTGGTAATTTGATATATTTCATGGTGACAAAATATGAACTCTATTTTGAGACTTTTGATAGAACTCCCCTTATTCAATAGCATAGGAAAATGTTCTGATTGTCAGGGTCCCCTTATATTTATCTTAATTCTTTTATAAGTCTATGGAAATTATTTAATTATTTTGAAACTTACACTTTTCTTGTAAATATTTCACCTCTGAAATGTCGAAGAAATCACTTTGAATTCTTTAATATTTGCTGCAATGTTTTTCTGTACATGTAACGTGTCTTTCACAGTGGGAACGGCTGCCTCTTAGTGTTTAATGTTGGTTGCGTGTGTCCTCTTTATGTTAAACTGGTTCAACACTGTAATGACTTGAGAATAAACTGCTCAGAATTCTTGCTACCTCCTCATTTCTTTTGGTTTAGCTGTAGTGTGAACAAGTAAATGGAAGTGGCACCAAGTGTGGTCAGTTGACTTTAAGGACAGAGTAAATTATTTGGTAATCTGTGAAATAATAAGAAACTTTGCATCCGTGACTCTGTAAGGCTGGCTTCATGTGAGATGGCATGAGAAAAGATGCTCTTTGGGGGATGAAGAAAATTGCTAGTTTGCTTCACTAAGAAGCGTGTGGTCAAAGAGCAAAACTAGATACGTTGGTTTCAGTCAGGATTGACTTGAGGCTGCGGGCAGTGCTGTGTGACTTGGGGCTGGAGACAGAAGGCGTTTGGGTCCCCAGCTGGACTGTTGAGGTGTGCCCACGGCCGGCCGCGCATCCAGCGCAGACCCCGGCCCCAAGCTCTGTGTCTGCTGCTCCACTGCGTGTCGGAGCTCAGGGAGAGCCCACACGCCTTGAATAGGAGTTGACGGGGCATTTCCACACAGGGAATGACCTTTATACTTTACGCGGAAGTGGACTGTCCCTGTTTATTTGGAAATAGAAATGCTTCTTTGGAAATTCTCTGTAGAAGGGAAACTTCAGTGAGTTCAGGCGTCCCCTTCTGCATCTTGTGCCCAGATGGTTTGCAAGCCCCGCTCTCTGACCACAGCCACGTGTCTTGCGTCCCTCGGTGTGACCCCCCGGGGCGCCTCTGGACCACCCTGTCCCTGTTGGTGCTCAAAGCAGGCATGGGCATCATGATCAGTCTGGCTCACCTCAGCTGGGTATTGCCATGACAGTCAGCTAGTTGGCGCAGGCTCCTGCCGTTAGTGCTTGCTGAGAGAAACCGAGATCGCAGGACAGCAGAGGGTGTGTGCCGGCCTGGGGGCCCGGCTGGCAGCAGGGCCAGAGCTCATGCCCTCTGACTGTCCTGGGGAACATGACCTGGGTATCGGCCCTGGGCTGAGTACATCGTGCTGTTTCCAGAGAGCCCATGGTGGCCCCTTGCCACTGGTAAGCCCATGGGGGTGGTCTGTGGCCTGCTGTTTCCCTTCCCCTCCGACCTGTAGTTCTGTGACATGCTTTCTTTGCCGTGGGCCCCCTTGTGTTCCGTCAGCCGCCAGTGCAGAGCCACCCGCAGAGCTGCCGCCTGACTATTTAGCAGCGGGTTCTGATCTTTCGCTCCTGCTTGGGAACCTGCTTGTCCTGGTGTGCAAGGACGATGCTTGCAGGCCCATTTGGCTCTTGGGTGAGGTTTGCCATGCTGCTCGCTGTAATGTGGAAGGGTGCTGCTTTCTGTGGGACGCTCCAGTGGCAGGACACTCCAGTGCCCTTTCTGTGGGACACTGTAGCTGCAGGTTGCCTGCTGTGTGTGTGTCCTGGGGGTCGGCTGCCACTGGGTCGCTCCACTTCCGATGCAGCTCCTTGTTTATGGTCTGGGAGGACAGTGGAGGACAGCCCGAGTCCTTGGGCTCCTGCACTCAGGTGACTCAGGTGAAGCTCCGGCCCCTAGCTCCGGATTCTTCAGCCATGTGGGGATGGAAGACCTTTCTCTGTCTCTGTCATTGAGACTCTGGAGTGAAATAAGTAGATTACTAAAAACAACAAAAGCATTTTCTGTAAATGGTGCCTGTGCCTTGATCAGAGGTCCTGTTAGCCATTAAAAAAGGCAGGAATTATTTGTTATCAGAAACGGGAAGATCCAGCTGCCAACTACTAAAGTCAGCTCCGTGACCTTGCTTGCTTTTGGGAGGGGCTGCCAATCCAGATGGGACACTTCTACTTCAATTGTACTTCCCATTGGTTATTTGTCATGTTATAAAAATCTGAAATAGATTGTGTATGTTGTCTGTCTTTGAATAACTTACGAAGAATGCTTTTCAAACATCAAGTAAAATGTGTGTCTACAATATTGGTGAGTCGAGGTTAACATCTGCAGTTTTGCTAGTTAGGGCATGTCAGAGCCAAGTGCTGCCTTCCTGTGGAATAGTCATGTGGTGACAGCGCCACCTTTTGGTTATTTTGCTAAATTTCAAATAATTTGAAGGCTTGAAATACATAAAAATTTCAAAAGGTAATATAAAATCCGAGACAGTATTTGCAAATTATTTTCATAGGGACTTAACTCTCACATATATGAGCACTGATTTTTTTTAAAAAAATATGTGTTTACTTTTATTGGGAAGACAGGTCCACAGACAGAAGGAGACGCAGAGAGAAAGCTCTTCCGTCTCCTAGTTCACTTCCCAGATGGCTGCAACAGCTGGAACTGAGCCCACCAGGAACCTCTTCCCAGTTCCCACATGGGTACAGGTTCCCCAGGCTTTGGGCTGTCCTCCTCTGCTTTCCCAGGCCACAACCAAGGAGCTGGAAGTGGAACAGCCGGGACTTGAACCAGTTCCCCGTGTGGGCTATTGGCACTTGGAGGGGGAGGATTAGCCAGCCTACCATTGAACCAGGCCCTCAGATTATATTTTTATTTTAGGACCCTGCACCGGAGTGGAAGACCCAAAGAAGCTCCTGGCTGCTGGCTCGGCTCAGCTCAGTTCTGGCCTTTGCTGCCACTTGGTTAGTGAACTAGTGGATGGAGGATCTTTCTGTCTGTTCTCTGTGTAAATCTGACCTATCTTTCCAATAAAGACACAATAAATCTCTTAAAAAGAGAGAGATAATTGTAGGTGCACATATGGTTATACTAAATAAAATCTACATGCTAAGTTGTTTTTTTCCCCCGTGGTAACATCTTAAAAAAACTAATGCAACCAGGATTTAAAATGTTGTTTTTTCAGGATTTATTTGATGTGTTTGAAAAGCAGTGACAAAAGGAGAGACAGATCTTTTTAACCACTAGTTCACTGCCTGAGTGGCACAGCAGCCAGGGCTGGGCCACACTAGTGCCAGGAGCCAGACCTGCGTCTGCTTAACATGTGGGTGACTGGGGCCCAGATGTTTAGGCCATGTTCTGTTTCCTTGGGTCCACTGGGTCTGAAGCCAAGCAGAAGGGACTTGAACCAGTGCACTGACATGAGACGCCAGTGTTGCAAGCAGAGGCTTCTCGTGCTGTGCCACGACGCAGGCACCGCAGGTGGCAGCCCCACTCACGCTGCAGCACTGGCTTCTAGGATTGTGTTTCTTAAGGGTTTTTTGTTTTTTTCTTGAAAGGCAGAGGCCCAGGGTGCCTTCTGATGCCCCTGGGGCTTCCCACCTCCGGGAGCGGGAAAGGCCCGCCTGTCAGGAAGGCTTCTGCCACCCGCCAGGTGCAGGGGTTCAGCAGGCACAGGCAGGATCCAGAGGCTGAGGCCCCACAGGCAGCTCTGGGGAGGCCCCTTGCTCCCTGCACATGCCCCCTCCTCCCAAATGGTCTCTGGGATGAAGAGTGGGGCTCGGATGAGCTTCCAGCTGGGACCCCCAGAAGTCCCACAAGACGCAGCCACTCAGGTGGTGACCTTTGAGGCGGAGCAGTCATTCTGCCGGGCACCTAAGGGTGGGGAAGTCCTCTGCCAGGGCCCCCGGGTTAAGGAGAGGGAGGCTGGACCTCTATAGGGAAGCCTGGCCCCAAGTGCTGTTAGCCTTCCTCATCCCTCCATCCTCCTCTTCCTCAAGGATGGAATGTTCTAGATGATCGGTCTGTTGGTGGGTAGCTACCACCACTGCAGGCTCAGTCACTCAGACCAGGGTGGCTCACCTCATCCTCTTGACCTCTGAGGTTTGGGGAGAGGCATGGGCACTGGGGAGAGTGCCAGGTTTAGGAACCTGCTGGCACATTGCCCTAGGTTTGCTGAAAGAAAAGCAGACTGGGTTTCCTCTTCTGCAGAGGCCATGGGACCTGCAGGGGGGCCTCTGTCCTGAAAGCCAGGGTCTGCCAGTTCCTGCCTGAGCCAGCCCACTGGTGTGGTGAGGATACCCCTGGAGGCTACTGACCCTCGAGGGAATGGGTCTGTAGCAGGGCCACGTGGGTGTTGGGGACACATCTGACTGTGCCTGGTCAGGCCCACGCAGGAGGGGCCGGCTCAGGCGTTCCTGCTCTCAATGGCCCTCACTCTGGGCTCAGATGCTTTTGCTCCACAAGTACACGCAGGGGAGACACCAGCTTGGAAATACAGGTAAGTGCCTGAACTTGGACCCTTCTGTAATTCCACACTTCTTTATACGTGATCCTGTATTGCTTACGTATTGGTGGCCCCAGGTTTGCTGCCCTCCAAGCTGGCCTGCTTCCAGCTCAGCTGGTCTTGGTTTTGCCCCTTGACCTGAAGTATGCACTGTGCCCTCTGCCCTCCTCATGGCAGTGAAGCTCAGCTCTCACGTGGGGGCACACTCATGGGGAGACTGCAGGGGAATTGTCCACCCTCGGCGGGGTCTCCCACAGTGAGGGGCACTGCCATGTGCAGGAGGGAGCCCCTCCCTGTTCTCCCAGTGTCCTGTCAGAGCTTGTCCATGGGCACCGGGCCCTGATTTGGGGTCAGTCTGACGGGGACATCCAGGGCTCAGGAGGACTTCCCTCATTGTAAGGTTCATGGTGGGCTGCTAGGTACAGTGGGAGCTGGGCTGTGATGCTAGCAGAGGGCTCAGGGCAGCCAGGCTCCGGCCTGACCTCCCAGGCAGGGACAGAGGTCACACTGCATTTCCCAGCTTTGTGAGTGCAGAGGTTTCTGAATTTGTTATGGGATAGTTCCCCTTTACTCCCAAAGATGCCCAAGCCTGTCCTGAGATGTCCTGGCCCAGTGTGCAAAAGCTTCTTAGATAGGGAAGGCCCAATTCTGGGTGCTCACCCCGAGGGAGAACTGGGCATGGGGTACTGTGGGCTCTATCCTGGAGACCTGAAGTCCCGTGAGCACCATGTCCCTGTCCAGGCCCAGGCTGCCTCAGGGTGCCCTGGAGGACTTCCTGGAGGTGGTCCCTTCCATGTCCTTACCCCTTGCAACACCATTCCCCTTGGAATCATCGTGAAGTCTGGGTGACCCTGTGCCGGCTCCTCTAGCCACAACAAGCAAAGGAAAAGCCAGCCAAATGCCCAATGCTGCT